ATATATATATATATATTTTTTTTTTTTTTCTGAGCTCGTGAATGCGTTGTGATGATTATGATTGAATTGTATGATAAAACTTCTTGCTTTAGGCAACAAGGCTGGTTTTCTGTTATTTATTTATTTTATTTTATTTTTTGTCACTCATAGTGCAGCTTAAAAATCCTACTGATAATGTTATATTTTTATTTTCAAATCTATGATTCACTGCTCAATTGCGTGTTACAAGTTCTAAATAACATATTATGCATAAGACACTACAGTTTGTGGATTTGAATTTTTTGGCACCAGGTTTTTTTATGCACAGATTCAGCGACATTCTGAGAATTACAGCAAGCACAAACGCAGTGATGGATTTAAACGGTTGCGAGGAGATGACGATGAGAACTTGCTTTTTGAATTGGACAAAGATTGTACCGGCAGAGAAAAATACGGAATGAGGAAGGGTTGGCAATTACACATGTATATATCACAGCTTCCATGTAATTATGTGCAATGTTTAAGTACTATATTTGCTTGTTCTATGGTTATTTGCCCAGTTTATATTCATTTATATATTCGTAGGATTTATTAGAACACGATCTTGTCTTACTTTTAGGTGGGGATGCTTCGTCTAGTTCACAGTTGGCTCCCCTAAAAAATATTTTACCAAGGGAATGGGGTGCCCATCCATCTTGTGCCGACCCCGAGTCTAAGCAGTTCATACGTGGGGAGACTTCATTAGATATTAATGGTAATGGAGCTTTAAATGTTCTTTTCACTGTTTTTTCTGCCTTCTATCTAGTAATTTGTTTGTTAATGACTACAGGATAGTAGTCTTGAGAAGAGGAATTGTTCCATATTAAGCTAACTCATCTTCTGGTGATGCTTCAGAAGTTATTGACTCTGTCCAAAGAAAGCCTGGTCGAGGCGATACCACATTATCAGTGAGTTGCTCCGACAAGATATCTCGTTGGAATGTTGTTGGAATTCAAGGTTTGTCATTACATATCAAGTTCATCCCTGGAAAAGAAAATAAAAGAAGCTAAACAAAAACATACAGCTTTCCAGTGGATTTTTGTTTCTACACACTACAATTTAGTACTGTGCATGCAACATGACATAATTTTTGGTAGCATCACGCATTCTTTGAAGTTTATGTGAGATGTCGTTTACCAGCTATCATTTGGGTAATATTTAAGATTGCAGTGGTAACACTCAAGCTTTATTAAATATAGTTAAAAATGAGGTCATCCATCTTGTTTCAGGAGCTTTGCTTTCCCACTTTCTGATACCTATTTACCTCTCTTCCATCACTGTTGGTCAATCTTCTAACAATTCTGGAGAGGTTCCTGTGGATGATTGCTTGAAGAAGGCTTTATATGATCGAGTTATAACATTTTCAAACGAGCTAATGAGTCCTTTTCGGGTGAACCGGGTCTGTGAATTGATTCTGTCTCCATGATATATATATAGCAAGAGAGTACTGAGAAGTATTATCATTTCACTTGCAGCCGCTATTCTGTTCAGCTCCAATACCACCAAAGGAGTTTCAACATTCGGAAACTGCTTCAACCACTTTAACATGCGGGTATTGGTTTTTGAACCTTACCTTTGCCACGTGCAGAAGATAATATTCAATGGTTCATTGCTACTCATCCTTCTATATTGTCTTACAGATATTCAATATGTTGGAATAAGTCCGGCTTGCATGAAGTCATTCTTGGAACCACTGGAAGAAAGCAAGGCACATCTTCCAAAGGGGCATTATCTCCATCTACAGAGTCATCTTTATGCAAGTAAACTGTTAAGGATGTTTTGGGAATATTTTACTGGAACATGACCATTATTATATAATTTTGTTTTGATTGAGGACGTTTTCGAAGATTTCAACTGGGATATAATCATTATCATCTAATTTTGTTTTGATTAAGGATATCTGGGAAGATTTCTACTGGAATATGACTATTATCATAATTTTGTTTTGATTCCACAGAAAGCGATTGTTGGAGGCTTTCTTGTCACTAAGACCTGAATTACCTCCCAACAGCCCAGAAAATAAGATTTGTTATCAAGAACTCAAGGTATTATATAGTTTGGTGCTCATCTTGTATAATTCTTTTCATTGAGTTTTACTACCCTGAGTTCCCTCTTCTTTTGGGTGGGGGTGCAATTTGAATAAAAGGTGATGCGATTTTAACTGGTGAACTAATACCACACTATTACTAGTGATATGTTTCAGACTGGCAGGTTTTATTTTATTTATTTAATTATTTATATTTTTTCAAAACTTCGACTCTATGGAGTATTTGGTTCAGACTTCAGTTAATGTGAGGGCATCAAAACAATTCTATTGGAGCGAAGTTTCGATGTGGCTAGTTGAGTAGGGTTCATCTGTAATGACAATATTTTTAGGTTATTCTGAACCTAGGTTATTGGAGCGAAGTTTCGATGACTAAACTAGTTGGTTTTCAGAACCTGGGTTTTCTTGATTCTTTTGCTTATTCTGTTTTATGAGAACAACTTACTACCTTTTTTTTTTCTTTTTTTCCCTTAATGAAACTTCTAGTTTTAAAGAGAAGGGGAAACAAAAGCTTCTGGGATTCGTTTGAGAGTTCAAATATTATGTGCAACTAGCAAGTAGTTTTGCCTAACATGTGCATGATTTTGGCAAGCTTAAAACGATCAAAACGGTCGATCATTTTACTCCGATTTTTTTTTCCTTCTCTGATAAGTTATAATCTCAGAAATTAAGACTGAATGCTAGGAGTTCTTGTTGGAACAAGCATGTAATGACCCCCAATAGCGAACATACCCATAATAGCAGAGAAGTTTGATACAAGTTGGATGATAAACACACTGCACTTATTGATAGTTTTGTATGTTTTTGTTTTTACCTCCTTTCGGAAAGGGGAGTCTGTCTTTGAACTGGCACCATAAATCTGAGGTGTTTTTTTTTGTCAATCCATAAAATTGAGGTCTTAGAGTTAGATGTATTGTAAAATGATTATTTTCTCCAAGTCTACTGACAGTGCTAGCTCAAAGGTACTTGCTGATTTATATGAGATCCCAAAAGGCGACAGGTGCCTCTAGTCTCTTCCAGTTGTTCTTGTTGTTGTTGTTTTTTTTTTTGTTTTTGTTTTTTTTGTTTTTTGTTTTTTTTTTTTTTTTCATGCTTGTATTCACTTTAGAATTATTTTTTTGGGGGCCATATTTTCTTGTACATAGAAGTGGTAATGTCAAAAGTATGTATCGAATGCTATGATAAACTAATATGCCTCGTTATTTTTGTGCAGGAAAGGGCTGGAACATACAATTTGACTTCAAAATGTATGAAAGGTAGACTGCCTTTCAGTAATTGGCCACTAAAACCCCAAAACTATGGGGCCGTCTTCGTTATGAGATAGGAAGGAGTGTGTTACTAGTAAGGCTTCAATTCTATTTTGATGTATTGGTAGAAATTAGTAGAGCTATTTTGTACCATATTTTGATTTATTGGTGGAGATTTGTAGAGCTGTTTTGGACCATTATCTGAAATAGCCCCCCAGGTAATTTGTTTCTTCAGTAACTTTTAGGCTCCAACAGTAGTCGGAGTAAAGACGTTTGTATCAAAGTCTCATTGTAAAAACTTACTGTTTGGTTGTGAATGAGCTTGTTTCTGATCATGGACAACATTGCGTTGGGAAATATGTACTAACTACTCAAGGAGGACTTTTCTTTAGGGCATCTCGCCCAGTAGGACATTGTTCCTTGTGAGTCTCATGTACTCTTTTACTTCTAGCCTTTTACTTTCAGCATCCAGCTTCAATCATTGGGAACATCTTCTGAGATATCATCCTTAACTCTTGGAGTGCGTTTCGAGGAACTTTTTCTTCAGTGTGGAGCCTTGGTGGGTCTCTTGAGTCAGCATCCTTCTTCTGTAGATTATGGCATATTCAAGCGGGGGCCCACAATCAGAGGAAGAGCAACTAGAGGAGCTTATTCACCAAGCGGTGACTCTTCACTGTAGTGATGATGCTATCGACCTAATTCCCGATTCTAAGCTCTCATCGCTCGCACTGGAGAGGAAGGCCATTGGAAAAGTGCTTGCCAAGCGTAAACACATCACCCTCGTAGTTCGGGGCAGCCTTGTAAAAGCTTGGAGCGAGATTCCAGTTTCGTATTTGCAAGAGGAGGGCCCAAACCTCTTTACGTTCACGTTCAAATCCAGGGAGGACAAGATTTGGGTTATGACCAGACACCCTTGGACAATAAATGGTCATCATCTGTATTTGCAAGAGGAGGGCCCAAACCTCTTTACGTTCACGTTCAAATCCAAGGAGGACAAGATTTGGGTTATGACCAGACACCCTTGGACAATAAATGGTTATCATCCAGTCCTGCAAGATTGGGAAGCGGGACTCACTTTTCAACAGATATCCTTCAAAAGATCCTTCTTTTAGGTTCAGGTCCATGGGGTGCTGCCAGATTATCTTTTCAAAGAGAACGCGCGCAGAGTAGGCGCGAAAGTTGGTGAGGTTTTGTCTGTCTTAATCCCAAAACCGGGGCCCAAGAGTTGGGGTCGTTTTTTCAGAGTCCAAGTGCTCATCAATGTGGATCGGCCTCTAGTAGTTGGTTTTTTCCGAAGAGAGTATGGGGCTTAAATGATGGGTCCATTTCAAATACGAATGACTTCTCGGATTTTGTTTCAAGTGCGGACTTCTCTGCCATGGTGAGAAGGCTTGTAGGTTGACCTCTCCGTCAATGTTGGACAATGGCTGGCCGGTGAAACAGAGGGATCATAAAAAGTCGACGGAGAGGCTGTCATTGGAGGAGATTGCTTGGACAGTAGTACACCTAGATGATCCGTCATGCCACAGTCTATGACTAGAGACTTTGATGCCCAGCAAAAAGCTATCCAATGGGATGAGGATAACTGACATGGGTTCATGAAGGTGTTAGTTGATAAGGAAGGGGTTGTGGTGATCAGGCCTAGGGATCTGGAAAATGCCTCGTTGAAATTGGAAATCTCAGAAGCAGGCACGCGTGGAGACAGGTCCACAGGAGCAGATAGGTTGGAAGGCGTTGAGAAAGAGGCTTTTTAGAATATGATGCTCTAGCGAAGACCAGATACGAGAATGGAAAGCAATATAGTAGTCTTAAAGGCCTCGGCAGAAGCCTTCACTGAAGTGGTTGACTAAATGATGGGCTCAGATACAATGGATAGATTCCAAGCCCATCAAGTTGCCTTAGTTCCCCCAGCTGGAATAGAAGGCCCATAAACACAACTTTAAGAAACGAAAAGTTCACTTCTGGGCTGAGCCAAGATAAAGTCATGTTGCAAAGCCCAAACCTTGAAGAGGCTGGGAAAGCCTATGACCCCGGCTCTAATTCAAAGCCTGCTTCGACTAGAAAAGCTGCATTGGCCGTGACAGGGGAAAAGGGAGAGGTGGAGGCCGAAGGCTTAGCTTGCTATGGAAACTCTAAACCCAATTGCAACTCAAATGAAGAAGGGAATGAAGGTATTTGTCTCACTCTTAACCAAACACCAAAACAGGCGGAGGGATGCTTGGATGTCCCTCCGCTGGACCAATAAAGTGAATTGCCTCCAACTGCAGTGGCTTGGCCCGAGACACGGCGGTTCGAGATCTAGGGGCCCTTGTCAGGAATTATAGCCTTGACATCAGGAGCTTCTCCATTGCATGAAAAAATGAAAAGGAAAGACTGGTCTCATGTTCATCAAAATCGACATGGAGAAGGCGTTTGACAAAATAGAGTGGGATTTTCTTGAAGCTGTGTTGCGGTGTTTCAGTTTCAGCCAGATGTGGACTAATTGGATAATGCAATGTGTTCGTTCTCCAGTATTTTCAATTATTATCAATGGCATGCCGAGTAGAGAGATTATGCCTAGTACAGGTCTGAGACAAGGAGATCCCATATCGCCATACTTATTCATTCTATGTACTGAAGTGCTATCTCGGATGTTTGAGAAGGAGAGTAGGATGGACAATTTCAAGGGGGTTCAAGTTTCTAGGGGAGGAACAGTTCTCACTCACTCTCTCTTTGCAGACGATCTGGTGGTGTTTAGGAGTGCGAGTAGACAAATGGCTAATGCCATCAAGCAGTGCTTAGAGTCTTATTGTTATTGGTCTGGGCAGAAGGTTAAATGCTGGAAAATCTTTAATTTATTTTAGTAGAAACACACAAAGCAGTAAAGCAATGGAAGTCACGAACGTGTTCGATTATAAGTGAATTTGAGAAAGAGCGGTGCATCTCGGGCTCCCCTTGTTTAAAACCAAAAGCAGTGCTAAAGACTCGCACCATCTCGTGGATAAGGCCCAAAAAAGGGTGGCTGGGTGGAAGACTAAACTTCTCCGTAAGACTGGTACTCTTGTCTTCCTAAAATCAGTAGGCCAAGCTCTTTCTGACTTATAGCATGATGATAGGATTGATTCTCAGATTTATCTGCCAAAAGCTTGATGGAATGCCAGGTGGGGTAAAGAACGTCGGCAAATTTTTTGGAAGTCGTGAGATTCTATTTGTCTGCCCAAGTTTCAGGGAGGTCTGGTTTTAAGAAAAACTAGAGACATGAATTGAGCTATGCTTGCTAAATGGGGATGGAATATGCTTAGAGATTCTCACTCGCTTTGGGTTAAGGTCATCGCTGAAAAGTACCTTAGAGGGAGAACTTTTCTTGGTGCGGAAGCTAAACCTTCTGACTCTAGCTTATGGAAAAGCCTAATCAATACCAAGGATCTCATAGAGAAAGGGGCTTGTTTGTTAGTTGGGAATGGAAGATTGATTAACTTCTGAAAGGATCCTTGGGTACCTTCTCTCAAAGGTTTTAAGACCTCCCTGAAGTACCTGAAACCTATTGGGTCCTACAAGGTCTCGGATCTGTTCAATAATGATGGAAATTGGAATGAAAGCAAAGTCTGTGCCCTCTTTTCAGTGGAAGAAGTGGCAGCTGTTCTTGCTATCCCCCTCACCACGCAAAGTATCCCGGACCGCTGGATTTGGAGAGCAACCTCCAAAAGGGATTTCTCTGTCAAAACGACGTATTGGCTAGAATGTAGTGATCGAATTCAGGGATCTTTATATGAGGTGAAGATGTGGAAGTCTCTTTGGAAGTCAAAATTGCATTCAAGACAAACTTTTGTGGTGGAGAGCTAGTGTGGGGGCCTTGCCAGTCAGGGCAGAGATTTCTCGAAGAATTAGAGGAGAAGAGATTTGCCCTCTTTGTGGGGAAGGGAGGGAAACTATTACTCACATCTTTCTATGTTGTAGGTTCTCGAGGCTAATCTTGTTGATGTCTCCCTAGAGCTCACGATCCGAGCATCTCAACCTTGAATCCATAAAGGACTTCCTGAAGCTGGCCTTGTTTGGAGACTCAAACACTTCCTCAGTCGACAGAGTTCCTCTTTTTCACCTCGAGTGCATTGGAGGTGATTTGGAAAGCTAAGAACAATTTGGTGTTCCAAGGTTTGGAAGTCGACCCGCTGCATTCTTTCAGGCAGGTTCAGAAGCAATTCCAAGAGAACCATCATCTTCTTACCTTGCCAGTCATCCATTCTGAAGCGTCTAAAGAGTGGCAGGCTCCCCCTCCGGGGTGGATCAAGGTTAATGTGGACTGTTCAGTACATCACTCCACTTCGGTGGTTGCTGCTGTTGGTCGGGACTCGAATAGAAACCTAGTTATGGCTGCTACTTCTTTGATCAAAACTAAAGATCCCTTAGTGGCAGAATGGAGGCTATTTGCTTCGCCCTTCAGGCTTCCTCCAAATCAGCCTTCTCAACAATATCCATTGAAAGTGATTGTGCTCTTGCTATCTCGAGTGTTACTGGCTCCGCTACTAATTGTCCTTGGTCTCTCCGAAACATTAAGATGGATTGCGACACTCTCTGCCAAGTCTTCGAGATCACAGAATTCTCCTGGATTAATAGATCGTGCAACTTTGCGAGCCATAACTTGGTCAAGTGGAGCAGGACTACCCTTATTTTTGGTTTCTTGTCTCAGGATTCCATCCCCCTATTTTCAAGGATACTGAGGAGTAGTTCTCCTAGTTTTGAGCCTCAGTTCTTTCCTTATCTTCGACTTAGTTGTAGCTGTTCTTCAGAATGTTTCCTTTTGTTCCTTGTTGCCGTTTTTTGTCCCTTGTTGACGTTTTTGGCTTTGTTGCAAGTTGAATGAAATCTCTATTTAGAAAAAAAAAAAAAGTCTCCTTGTGTCTGGTGGATCAAGTCTTTTGTGGTTTGGTCTCCTTGTATCTCAGGATCTTTCGAGTCGAGAATAGTTTTCAAGGATAGTGAAAACATTAATAAGAATGTCTTTACATATGCTATAGGGCTTGGGCAGTTATCTCTCTGTATCCTAACATCAGAACAACCAAAGTAACTTCATTCTTATGTTAGGAAGATGTTCATTTTCCTCTTTTTAGTCGGCGCAATCTGACTTTGCATCCATATTTTGAAATTGGGGTTTCAAATTTTTATCTAATAGTGTGTCTATATATGTATATATTATACTATTTTATATAGTACATTTTCAATGCTCGTTTAAATCAGTTGCCTACTCTCTTGGCTGAGTGGGAACATAACAGAATTGATCAATTATCTTTGCTTGCCTTACTCAGGTGACCAAAAAAGAAATCAGTGGCATAATGGTTGCACAATGCGCAACATGGTTTAGTAATATTTTTTAAGAAAAAATTGCATTTCATTAAAATACTAATAAACAGTCGTCTTGGTATAATATTAATCTATCGGAGGGAAGCACCTCGGCATATTATCAACAAGCGGACTGAAAGTTCGACTGGAGAAAACCTCTTTCTTCAACATAAGCTGTCGAGCGCTGGAGGGGCAGATCATCAAAA